ATTGATATCTGAGGGCTTATCCGTGTCATAAGCTCTTGATGTTACTTTGCTTCCTTCCTTTTTTTAAGATTTTGAGTGATCTGTATGCTGTTAACTCTGTGCTTGCCTGTGCTTTTGCAATTGATGGAACCATTCCTTCATCAGTGCTCATAACATTCTTAAGCATTTCCTGAAGGGTCTGGAGGTGGTGTATTGTCTCAGGGATTGGATGTCTGGGAAGCATCTTAATCTCCATCACGGATCAAGCTTAGGTTGGTGGGGTAGGAAGTTCTTGGCTAGAATTGTTTATCTTTGTTCATGTTGAAGATGGGACTCCAGACCCTTCTAGCTTGCAGGGTTTCTGCTGAGAAGTCTGCTGCAATTCTGATGGGTCTTCTCTGGTAAACTGCAATTTTCTGATGGTCTGACCCTTCTCTCTAGCTGCCTTTGGGATTTCCTCTTTCAATCTTACGGTGTCATGTACTGCTATGCAGGGATGATCTGAATCTCTTGTGTTTGGATGGTCGCCCCTAGTGAGATACAGGAAGTTTTCTTGGATGATCTCGTGGAACACTTCATGGGATACCATGAATGCACTGTGAGGGAAGTTGATGTTCAAAATTTATGTAAGGAGAGAGGGCACTGTTCCAGCATGTTCTGTTTCCCCTTCAGTTTCAGGGATGCCAATCAGATGTAGATTTGGTTTCTTTACATAATCCCACACCTCTCATAGGCTTGGCATATTCTCTTTGAACCCATTCTTTTTGAGCTTTTTCTCGTTTTTGTCAGACTTGGTTAGTTCAATATTATCTTCAAGCTCTGAGATTCTTTTCTAAGCCTGATCAATTCTGCTCCCTAGGCATCTTACTGTGCTTTGAAATTCCAGGAGGGAATTCTTCATTTCCAGGATTTCAGAATGAAACCTTTTTTTTTTTTTTTTTTTTTTGGTTGGAGTTTCACTCTATCACCCAGGCTAGAGTGCAGTAGCATGCTTATGGCCACCCCAGCCTCCACCTGCTGGGCTCAGGAAATCCTTCCGCCTCAGCTTTCCAAGTAGTGGGAACTACAGGTGCATGCTATCACACACGATTAATTTTTTTATTATAGAGACGAGGTCTTACCAAGTTGCCTGGGTTGGTCTTGAACCCGCAGGCTCATTGTCTGAATTTTGTCATCAGAAGATGGACAGGTCATTCTGGGAGATTTCTGTTGTTTGGGCACTGGAAGGTGTTTTTCTAGGTGATGCCTCTTTAAGGTTTTGAGCATTGCCAGTGTTTTTCCACTGGTTCTTCCTGATCTGTGAGGAGGAACTCTTCTGTTATTTTTTAGTTTTGTTGTTTTGTAGCTATATGGTTTTGCTACCCAAGGGTCTTTTCTGATGTTCAAAATAGTTTACGCCAAGGAGAGGGGGCATTTACTCCTGCTATGCCACTCTTGTTGGACAGTACTCAGAACTCAAAGTGACTTTCTGTTGCAGTTTTTCCTGTGGTCAGGCTGGCCAGGCTGCTTTCCCACTCCTGTTGTGATCTCTATGGCAACAGGCCCCCAGGCAGCTGGGAGCACTGCTAAAGAGTTTTGGCGCCTCCCACAGAAAAACAGGGCCTGCAGGTACCTTTCATGACTCCCCTGTCAAAGACTATGCTCAGCACATAAAAGCAGCAGGATCCCTGTCATCGTGGGACCTGCCCTTTGGGTGTGTGAGGCTGGCAGGTCTGAGTTGGGTGGGTGGCCACTAGACACCAGCAAGTGAGCTTTCCTGTCCTGGGAGCTTGTTGCCAGACCATGCTAGGAGCACACATTCCCCTCTCGTGATAAGGCAGGACTGCAGAGCCTATGTGAGCCTGGTGCCCAGAGAGCTGGGGTCCCCCAGTTCCAACATCAGCCATCTGGACTCTCCCCCACCTTGGTCCCTATGCATTCCAAGAGTCTCTATGGGATGCAAAAATCTTCCTATGTCCAAAATTGCACAAGTTTCCTGAGTTTGTCTGGGTCTGTCCTCTCTGTTCTGCTCAACAAGAGGGGCAGGCTGGCTACTTCTTGGTGGCCACATTCAATCCCTCCCTGTCCTATGACTTCTAAACATGCTGATAAGATGGTGGGGAGGGCCAGATGCTGACACTTGGAGGTTGGGAATGTCCAGCCTGTGGCTGTCAGCTTAGTTCATTGCTCCCTCCCTAACTGGCCAGGGTGCTCAGCAGGTGCCACTTTACAGATGCCTTCCCTCATTCCAGCCTGAGATCTGTAGTCAGGGCACAAGCGGGTCTTTGTGTGAGGCTGGCCACAGCTCAACGTTGAACCAGAGCCTGGTGTTGTCCAGCCTTCTTAGAACACTAAGCTTGGCTCCATCTGGGACTGGCAGGACCTGGAGGGTACTAAAGCCCTACCTCCTCCTGCCCTGCTGGACTCAGTGAGACTCAGGATCTGTCTTCTCAGGTGACGTTTGCTGCAGAAACCTAGGTTTCCTTGGAGCAGTGTGACTTTCCCCTGTAGACCCAAAAGGGTTGTCTCTGACTACTTGCAAGGAGATGGACAAACCATCTTTCTAGAGCATAGTAAAAATAAACTTTTTCTCATTTTGTTTCCCACTTCTCCAAGAGGTATCCTTTCCCATCAGGTCTGGGGGGACCTGTCTATTTAGATTCTGGGATTTTTTTTTAGTTGGAGTCTCACTCCATTGCCCAGGCTGGAGGACAGTGGCAGGATCATGGCTACTGCAATCTCAACCTGCTGGGCTCAGGCAATCCTTCCACCTAAGCCTTCCAAGTAGCTGCACATGCTACCATGCCTGGCTAATTTCATATTTATTTATTTATTGGAGAGACGCAGTCTTGCTAAATTGCCCAGACTGGTCTCAAATCCCTGGGATCAGGCAGTCCTCCTGCCTCAGTCTCCCAGTTCTGGGATTACAGGTGTGAGACACTACGCCTGGCCAAGACATGCATAGTACTTCCCACGTTGCCAAATTTTCTTCTCATACCATCCAATTTGTAAGGGAGGAAACCTAGAAATAGGTAAATAACGTCACATAGTCTTGTGGCTGCTTTACAATGAGCTTCCTCGAACAGCCTTTACCCCCCAAATCAGGCACACCCCCCCCAAGAGAATGGAGTACAGGGTAGCTGACTGTCAGCCCAGGGACAGTATTCCTTATTATTTATCAGGTTCTCATCACATTCAGAGAAGCCACTGGAAGATGCCTTTAAATTATTTTCAAAAGGTCCATGAAGCTCCTTTGCCCTACTAAGAATACTTCAAGGTGGACCCTAAGGGTACATCTCGCCTTGTACTCACACAACTCAGCTGCCACATTTCTCAAACAAGGAATAAGGGTGACCAAAAAGGGTGGGGGTTGCAGAGTAAATAGTCAGCTTTTATGAAATGAAAACAGTCACATCCAGCCAGCTGGATACAGAATTGTGCCTGGGAACGGATGTTCCTGTGACTAGAGACAGGAAATGTCACACAGCCAAAAAATAGTCTACCATGAAACTATCTTGGATGATGGAATAAGCAACTTCCATAGAAAGCATTTTAAAAAATTAGCTGAGATTATTAATTAACGAATTGTGCAAGAACTGATCTTCCTATTCAGTAACTATTTAAAAAGACACACTTGCTCGACACTGACAAAGACAAGACTCTACTATTTGATCTTTTCAGCTGAGAAAGGAAAACGTTCAAAACCTGACCAGTCTTCTGTGTTTAAGATGCTGAAGCATCATCCAGAACAGTATCTGTTGCGCATTTATTTGTCTTCAGCATGTGCAAAGCCAAATAAATATGCAAGGAGTGCCAAACATACAGAAACCATTATCACCAATTCCCTGCTCTCCATTGCAGACTTTTCAAATATATTAAAATAAATTGTGAATTTTGCAGCAAACTGGATGGAATTACAGTCTATAATACTCAGTGATCTATCACAGAAACAAAGATCTGAGTATCCATGTACTCGTAAGTGGACCCTGATCATTTATCATAATACTATAAGAAAGGGATTGGCGGTAGTGGGACACTGCTGGGGGGCGGGGACATAACATCAATAAGGGCACCCATACTTTACCTGTATGATGACCACATATGTACCTAACCCTCATTTGTACTCCACATTTAAAAAATAATATAATTATAAAAATCTACCCCCCTCACACTGACTTATGCTCCCAAATAAAGTGGTTGCACATAAAAATACAATAAATAAATTGATTGTAGCTTAAAAATGGATTCCAGTGGTATCTCAATATCCTTCTGCTAATGACCGCTGAAACCAAAGTAATAATGTAAAATCTAACATTTACAATGCTGTGTCAAGACCAACATAAATTTAAAAGAAACTTATAAATGACTAATACAAATACACTTAAGATTGCTTGAAATTTCTCAACACCACTAGAAAAACAACAGGTCAAAGAAAAAAGCACAAGTCACATGCCTGAGGTTAATTAAACAACAAAAATAAATTAACACGGGCAGAAAAAGGTTCCAGTTTAACTACACTGAAGGGACAATGAACATTTCCAACATAAATAAGCTGTGCCTCACAAAACTTAGATATCCTTTATTTCCTACAATTCTCATTTCCTAAGAACGAATGTTATAGAACTCCATAGGCCAGGTCAAGGAAGGGGCACCATGCTAGCCTACCAAGTCCCCAGGCAGCATTTATTGTGGCTCCTACTTCATCTAAAGGTTCTAAGACTTGAAAAACTCCAAGTAACTGCTGATCTGCAGGGAAGAAAGATATTGTAAAACAGGTCAAACATCCACATTTCTCCACAGAGGGAACCACCTACCCAGAACGCATGCTGCAACCTAGAAACTGCTACAGAAAGGTCTGGTAGATAAGACCCAAATCTTTATTAATGTCCCTTCCCCATTGTAAGAAAAAGACCAAATAATTTGAGTTTAAATGATTTAGAAATTAGGATTTTATGGAGTTCAGGAGGGGAAAAGGAAAACTTAAAGAAATTCTTCATTTTTATAAAAGTATCAGCACCAAAAACCTGTCCTTAAAGATGATCTTAGATACATATTTTAGGGTTTTTATTGCTGATTACAGATTTAAAACTATGAAATGTGCATTGCTTGGCAAGCTACACAAGTAATTCTTTACTTATTCACATTTCCAATAAAAGCTTACAGAAACAGACAAAAAATACAAAGGACAAGAGAAATACAAATGGCAACAGCTTCAAAACAAAGAAATTTAGTAAGAGAACGAAGTCTCCACAGTCAGTGTCCATCAAAAGTTTAAAATTACCCAAACCGTGCAAATGCTCAACTAAAATCAATGTCATACACTGAACTATTAATACTTGTCCCTTTAAAGCTGCAAACTAGAAAAGTCAACCACGTATAATTTATGATCGCACAAACCACCTAATTTGCTCAAGGTTAAGGTTCAGCTTAAAGCAACATTTAGTATCCTTTACAAGATGGAATTTGTGACAAGTTCAAAAGGAAAACTTGCTTTGTTTTAATGCAGCTGTGTTCAGAAGTCTACATGATTTCCAAGGAAACCATCTGGGTTTAGCCAATTAAGAAAAATACAGTTCAAAGCAGTGTCACACTGGCCGCTTGAAGGTATCCTTGGAGATACTGGAGCGCCTCTGCGTTCAGGCTGGTGCTCACCATCGATGGAACCTACGAGAGATGGGAAACACTGGCTGTAGGAGATCCTGACGCATCAACACAAACCCCACCTTCAGAAGAGCTGTCACAGCCCTAGGAACAGCAGCCACCCATTCATCACTATCCAAGGAAGTCCCAAGAAACTCAACTGCATTTTTACCTTCAAAAAATAGATAGTTCTAAAAAGTAGATCCACAAGGAATTATTAAACGTGACAACTGTACTGTGGTTAGATTTAAGAAGTCCTGACTGGTTAGTGATACACAATGAAGTACTTGCAGGTAAAACAATGAGATGTCTAAGGCTTGCTCAATACAAAGGAAAAAAAAGGAGTGCTGGGTGTGGTGGCTCACGCCTATAATCCCAGCACCTAGGGAGCCCGAGGCGGGAGGAATGCTTAGCCCAGGAATTTGAGGCCAGCCTACACAACATAGTGAGACCTTGCTTCTACAAAAAATAAATAAATAAATAACTGGCATGGTGGTGCATGACTGTAGTCCCAGCTACCTAAGCTGAGGAAGGAGGACTGATTGCTGGAGCCCAGGAGTAGAGCCACTGTCATGCCACTGCACTGCAGCCTGGGTGACAGGGTGAGAGACCCTGACTAAAAAAATTAAAAAGAGAAACAAATGATGGTAATTGTTGAAGTTGGGTACAAGAGGTTTTGTTATATTTGTATGCTATATTTAAAATTCTTCATAATAAAACATTGAAAAATAAAAATTTATCAGGTAACATATGAGACTCTGTATAAGGTGCTGACTACATGCAACTTATGCAACCATTACTAAGTTTATGCCATGATCTATTATTTAACCCTTTGTACTCAGATATTCCCTCTGAAGGGACATCATAAACCTAGCTAGCAAAGCACTCAGATGTCCCCTTTTCAGGGAACATAAAGAGATTGCTGGTGATTATACAAGACAAAATTATGCAAGGTCCAATTTTTCAAAAATGTATGTTTCCTGAAAGTTTTCCATGCAAACTGCATTAAAAAGCAAATAAAGAGATAGAATATATATTGTGATATATGTAAAAAAAAAAAATCAGTTGGTGTTATGTAGAATGTGTGAAGTGCTTTCACAGTGGTGACAAATTCCCAATTCAGCAAGATACCATCTATTTACTGACAGTTATTACTCAAGTACTGTCCTAGCAGAAGAGCTACTATAGATGAAATGTCATCTTACTGGTACAAAGTCAACCAAATGGGAATACCAGCACAAATCACAAAGTCAAATTTTTAAATGAAAAAAACAATAGTGTATATGAAAGATAGTCTTATGCTTCTAGCTGGGAAGGACAAAAGAATTGTTACAAATTCTCATCACTCAGAACCATGCTGGAATGAAATCTACAAGAACATTATGTGGCAGAAATATTATATCATTCAAAAAGCCTGAAATGATTCTAAATTATACTGCAAATATGAGCAGTGCAGACTGTGTGGATCAATATGCTTCTACATATTGTTTTTTGTGAAAATCTTTAAAATGGTGGAGGATATTTTTCTGCGGGCTAGAAATATGCGTTATTAACTCCTATATACTGTACCAAGTATCAAAATAAAAAAACCCTATGTCCCATTTGAAGTTTTCAGGAATTACGAGTGCATCCTCTACATCATCCTCGAACAACAGACTGGACAATAAATTACATATTATTAATGTGGGAAGAAGAAAACAAGACTGCACTGTCTACACAAATAGACAAACACCATACGGACCATATGGAAGATATTAAACAAATTACTGTTGCAGAACATGTATTAGTGAACCTGTAATGCATACTGGTGACTGTGCTTCACATGCTATCCGATGTTAGAAAAATATAAGATATAACATTTTGATTTTTTTGTCATAAATAAGTTCCTTAATGTCCAAAATTCCATTATAAGCTCAATATACCTGGCAATAAAATAACTGGTTCCAATTCTATAATATTTAATATGAAGTGACTTCTTTTTTTTAACTATTTCATTAAAAAGTACAGTTCAGGCTGGGCTCAGTGGCAAAGCCTGTAATCCTAGCACTTTGGGAAGCAGCCAAGGTCAGTGGATTGCCTGAGCCCATGGGTTTGAGATCAGCCCGGGCAATTTGGCGACACCATGTCTCTACAATTAAAAAAAAAAAAAAAATAACCAGGTGTGGTAGCACACGCCTGTAGTTCTGGCTACCTGGAAGGCTGAGGCAGAAGGATCATGTGGCTATGAGCACTGCCCTCCAATCTGGGCGACAAAGTGAGACTCCAACAAAAAAAAAAAAAAAAAAAAAAAAAGTGCAGTTGAGTTGCTGGGAGATGATCCGCGAGATGTCTCCAAGTACAAGGGGTTATAACTTCTGGAGTATGTGGCAATTAAAAAAAAAAAAAAAAAATCCATAAATGCTGCCAGTTTTTAATAATAGAGGAATTTGGGAAATAAACACATTTCTTCTCAAATGTATTTATCCTTTCATTTTTGCTCCTAAATACATTTACTTAAAATATATTTGTAGTACATAATACAAGAAAAAAAAGTTAGGCTGAGCACAATGGCTCACGCCTGTAATCCCAGCACTTTGGGAAGCCGAGGTTAGAAGACTGCCTGAGCCCACGTTCAAGACCAGCCTGGGTAACTTGGTGAGACCTCATCTCTACAATAAATAGAAAAATTAGCTGGGCGTGGTGGCAGGTGCCTGTAGTTCCAGTTACTTGGAAGGCTGAGGTGGAAGGACCGCCTGAGCCCAGCAGGTGGAGCCTGGGCAATAGAGTGAGACTCCAACTCCAAAAAGAAAAGAAAAAAGGCTCATCGCTTTAATTAAGGAAAATAAACTTTGTCCATAGCACAACAGGATGCAGTTTCACCATGCTGACCGCTGAAAGTAGACACCGGAACAAGTACTCTCGCTTTTCCACTAAAGTGTCCATTTACCACAGAGTTCTTTCACAACACTTACCCTTCCTGGACAGGCAGTAGACAATTTGTGAAGTGACTGTGCCAGGTGAATTTTGGGGTTGTTTACCATTTGACCTACAGGATCATGCTCTTTTTTCCCAGCAAATGCCAACTGTGAGAAGGCAGTCTGGTATCCTGGTGTATCTTCAATGTCAATAAAATGCTCTTCATCAGGAATTGTATCATCTTCAGGTAACTCAAAAAGGCCAATCAGAGACTGTAAAAGAGGAGTCCTGGATTCGAAGAAAGCAAGAGACAAAAGATCAAGAAAATACTTTTAAGATTTAAATAAAAGCAGCGATTCTTTTCTTTTTTTGAGTTGGAGTCTCACTTTGTCACCTAGACTAGAGTGCAGTGGCCAGCGGCCACTGCAGCCTCGACCTGCTGGGCTCCAGCGATCCTTCCGCTTCAGCCCTCCAAGTAGCTGGAACTACAGGCGTGCGCTACCAAGCCCAGCTAATTTTTGATTTATTGTAGAGAGGCGGTCTCGCCAAGTTGCCCAGGAGGGTCTCAAACTCGTGGGCTCAGGCAATCCACTCACCTCGGCCTCCCAAAGCGCTGGGATTACAGGCTGAGCCACCGAGCCCAGCAAGCAGCAATTCTTAAGAGAAACAAAATATAGACTCACAGATCTCAAAAAGAAGAAATGGGCTTTTTGAAATGTACATGATTCTTATGCCTACTCGATTCTTCTAGCAACAGCATCCTAACATGTCTTTTGGAAACTACTCCATCTCAAACTGGCTGTGTAATTCCAGCCAAAGCAGGGAGATTACATGTGAGGACTTTTGTCTGAACAAACAAACTTCCAGTTGCCAGGTCACTTTATGGAAGAGCCTGCCTGAGTGAAACCAAAATATGAAAAGGAGAGAGAAGGTTATGAAAAGTGAGGTCCTCCAGATACAGAGTATAGTTATGAAAAGTGAGGTCCTCCAGATACAGAGTATAGGCAGGGCAGGTCTTTTCTTGGCCTGCTCTGTTCCTTAAAGACTTAAGCCAGTTAGTTGTCTTCTGTCATAAAACTGTCTTAGTGATCACCTAGTTATCAGATGCTTAAAAGGGTTCATAAATCCCCTGAAAAAGTTAAGAGCCATGAAAAAAGATCTTTCTAGACCCGGAAAGGATACATAAGTCATGTCTCGGATCTAATGGTTGCTAGTAGAAAAGTCAGTATCAGAACCTAATACTATTGGTCCCCAAGAGAATAAGTTTGGTTAATTTTGCATTTGTAAGGGAAGGCAGCAGTAACTTTCACAAACAGCAGAATGAAGTACTTACCACAGCTTGGTATACTCAGTGTCCATCATTGGGGGACATTCTGTTAGTAATTTGGTTATGCCAACTGCACAAATCTTTTTCTCTACATTTCCAGATACTTTCTGAATTTCAGGAATAATGATTTTTTCCAAAACCATTCCAAACATTCTATTAATCAAAGCAAAATAAATGTATTCAATATTAAATTAGACAACCACCATAATTAAACAGTGAAATGCTATGGTGTTGTTTATACTCAGTGACTCCTAATAAATAAAATAAATTACTAAATAAAAGATTGTTGTTTTTGGTCAGCTGAAAAGACCTAGAGATGACAAAATACCAAAGAAAACCCATTCCATCTCTGCCCTGTAGCCAACTGCCATCCTCTTCTGTGAATAAACACACTTTGTGTTACTGTAAGCCTGTGCTTAAATATAATTTTTACAGCTTTCTGTTCTTAGTCAGGTAGGCTTTAGAAAAAAATATTTGAAAATTAGAAATTAGAAAACAGTGATAAGCAAGATCAAGGAGGAAAAAAGAATCCCCCATCACCCCACCATGCAGCAACAACTAATTCTAACGGTTTTGGATTATAAACTTCCCAACTGTCTTTGTTTATGAACATGTAAATATGTAAATGTTAATGGCTGTTTAAAAAAAATGACTTGGCCAATCATTCTATGTTGTTGCAAACATCCTAGAACTTAACGTTTTACACAATTCCAAATGATGCAAAATCCTCAATTTATGCTTTCATAAAATAAATTCTTTGAAGTGAAAACAACAGATCAAAATGTCTAGCCCTTCTAATGCTCTGGGGTAAAGAGCGCATTTTTTGCCCTGTATTTTCTAGTCTACTTTTCAGGGTAATTCATTTTTTAGTTAATCCAGGATTTTTTTGGGGATAGAATTCCAGTTCAGGGATCCAACTTTTTCCAACAAATGTTTTCTCTAAGGGTTGCTGCCTTATCATTTATTTGTAATTCTTTCACCTCCCTACTAATGGACCATGCCACCTGTATACATTCTTTGTACAGATATTAGAGAAGCTAAAAGCAAGGTTTTATTGGTCCCAAATATTTCTCATTTGAAAAATCATGCTGTTGGCCTTGACAAAGGTCAACCTTTGGAGACAACACCGACCATCAAACAGAACACAGAACACTGGCTGTGGAGAATGTGAGGGTAGAGTCACTTTGGAAATTAGGAAAATGATTATGGAATGTTTTTCTTTACCGCCCAACACTTACGAATATTTTCTTTTCTTTCTTTCTTTCTTTCTTTTTTTTTTTTTGAGTTGGAGTCTCAATCTGTCGCCTAGACTGGAATGCAGTGGCCGTTCCCGGCCACCGCAGCCTTCACCTGCTGGGCTCCAGCGATCCTTCCGCCTCAGCCTTCCAAGTAGCTGGAATTACATGCGTGCGCTACCACGCCCGGCTAATTTTTTTTGATTTAGTGGAGAGACGAGGTCTCACCAAGTTGCCCAGGCGGGTCTTGAACCCGAGGGCTCAGGCAATCCACTCACCTCAGCCTCCCTACGATTATTTTCAAAACCATACTCTCTCCACACCAAGAACCTCCAAATCATCTATAAGATAGACATTGGTTTATACTAAAAAAGGTGCAATTATTTTCTTCCCTTAAAGGGAAGAAAATGTAAAATAGTCTTATTTTTAATTTAAAAACTAAAATAGTAACAGAAACTTACTTTGGTTGTATACCATCGAATATTTCTTGTAGTGCTAGCGCCCCATATTTTATGCAATACAGATTAATAAATACTAAGAAACCTGTTGAAAGAAGATGCAGCATATCAATGTGGAGGAATCACTGTACTAAGCTTGTCATTCAGAGTCTGCCAGATGAAACTGATGCACAATCGTTAAAACCCAGTGACTAACTCTGGCACCAATACTTGCTTTTTGATACATTTTTACATAAGAAATTTCTGCCTTTATATGCAGTCTCTCTCTGATTTTTATTTCCTTGTTATGTCTACTGAAAAACTATTTTGATATCTAAACTAACATATAAAACATTTGAAAAACAATACAATTAAAACTAATTTTATGTCTGGAGAGCATAAACATCTTAAAATATCTTCTCTTTTTATTTTTTCCTTTTGAGCCAGGGTCTCACTCTCTCACTCAGGCTAGAGTGCAATGGCATGATCACAGTTCACCAGTCTCGAACTCCTGGGCTCAAGTGATCTTCCCGCCACAGCCTCCCAAGCAATCAGGACTACAGGCGTGTGTCACAACGTCCAGTTAATTTTTTTTTTTTTTTTTTGAGTTGGAGTCTCACTCTATCGCCCAGACTGGAGTGCAGTGGCCGCTCTCGGCCACCACAGCCTCGACCTGCTGGGCTCCGGCGATCCTTCCGCCTCAGCCTTCCAATTCAAGTAGCTGGAATTACAGACGCGCACTACCACGACTGGCTAATTTTTTGATTTACTGTAGAGATGAGGTCTCACCAAGTTGCCCAGGCGGGTCTCAAACCCGTGGTCTCAGGCAAATCATTTACCTCAGCCTCCCAAGACGCAGGATTACAGGCTGAGCCATAGAGCCTGGCTCCAGTTAATTTTTTAAATCTCTTTGTAGTGTCATGGTCTTGCTATGTTGCCAATGATGGTCTCAAACTCCTGAGGTCAAGTGATCCTCCCCCCGCCTAGGCCTCCCAAAGTGTTGGGATTATAGGCATAAGCCACCACTCCCAACCTTAAAATATTTTCTATATAAAGTTTAAAACTGATAAAATGTTTATCTGCAACTATAAAGTCTAAGGGTTTAGCTACTTTCCATCATTATTTCTGTAGAACATGCAAATGATTTCACTTACTCTTGATAAATTTTGTTGTTTTGGAATTCTGAAGTCTTTGGAATAGCAGAATGAAGATTTGTTTTCTATACTGATCAACTGATTCACTAAAGAATTGAATAAGAGCAACAATATAAGTTTAGCATTTTTCTGAGTACCTTATAGAATTTTTGATTAAACGCACAACAAGTTTATAGTCATACTCACGGAGGCATGTGCTCTATTATACTATTTAGAAGATAAAAGCCTTGGTGGTCATTTGCTTTGGATGCAATCAGCTTCTGAAAGACACCTAGCAACCCCGGCTATAAGAAAATATACCAAACAATAAACAGTTAACAAAGAAGCCATGATTCACTATTCCAAAAGTTAAAGAGACAATACATATTTTGAAAAGGAGTTCATATTGTAATACTCTAGCCTTTTTTTTTCTTTAGTTATTTCTGAAACATAGAGAAAAAAAATCCCACCACAATAGCCAATAAAGATACATTCTTTTTCTTGAGTTGGAGTCTCACTCTGTTGCCCAGACTGGAGTGCAGTGGCCACTGCCGGCCACCGCAGCCTTGACTGCTGGGCTCCAGCAATCCTTCCGCCTCAGCCTTCCAAGTAGCTGGAACTACAGGCACGCGCTACCACGCCCGGCAAGATACGTTCTTAAAATTCAACCTATTTGGCTCTTATTTTTGTTAATCTCTACCATGGATATAAATAACAAAAGGATAACTAAGTCTAATAAAAACACTTTACCATTTTCTATTAATTACTTCCCCTTTTATTAAATTTAATTTTATTAAACAAATTTCAAAAACCTGCCATCCCTAGTTTCTCCAAGCTACCTTAGAAAATTACAGTTACATCAAAATAAATCTGACTCACAATTTTGTCAGCTGCAGCACTTGCTATTGTATTTGAACCGCGTTCTAAGAATGCTTGGAGAAGCCTCACTAGAGCAGGAATATTTCCTGTTCTTTCCCAAAGCACTGGCTGAAGGAGATGAGGAAATAAGGCCATATAGGAAGATGGGATGTCATTTTTGTGTGTTTCCAGAAGCAAAGACATCACTTGAAAGACGTATGGAATAAATTCTGTTGATAAAAGTAAAAACAGAGCTTTAAGCTTCAGAAGGAATGGCTCCAACACAGAAGGCACACAGCTCTTAGGCAGGCTGTATTTTATAACCACCTTAATTTTATTCTCTTACAAAGAAAGTAACTTCTTTTAACTTACCTTGTACATCATTTTGTAAAATTTCAGTAAACACCAAAAACAAAGCCTCCTCAAAATTGACAACAGCAGCAGGGTTGGCTTTGCAAGTGATTCTTATGGATAAACATATTGCTTCAAACATGTAGTGATTAAAGTGAGGTTTGCTTGGGTTCTGAAATTTTTAAAAAAAAGCTAATTATTCTGACTATATTAATACCATCTAAAATAATACAAATTACTTCCCCTTTTCTAAAACATATTTAAGATAGCTGCCACTTATTTAAAAAAAATCATTAAGGAAAAAAACTATAATTACACTAAAGTAGCGGTTGTTCATTTGAATTGTTAATGGCCAAGAGGTGCTTACACAAACCTCAGCCCCAAGGGTTGTAAGGAATCTGCCTTAGTAAACCCATGGAGCTTTGCAGAACCATCAGTGTCCACAATGGTGAAAGAAACACAGGAGCAGGGACGTTTTAAGTTCTGGTCCTGCCACTGCCCTTCATGTCTATGGCCTCAATGTCTGCTATCTGCTGAGTGATGATCCTCCATATTAGTAGCTTCCAATTTTGTTTTTAGGCAGTGAAACACTATTTTCCTTTAAACAAAATCTTTCTTGGAAGGCTAGCATATCAAGTGGGCTGAACCAGAAGATGAGAAAGTACATGCATAGGAGTGTGGGGGCTTTGCTCCCTTCTCCCCTCCATCCTCTAAGGCCCAAAGTAGTCCAAGACCCTTACTCACAATTCAACTGAAAAATAATCACTCTTCTACAAAATCCCTCTAGTACTTCCTATGAATTGATCTTGTTTTCATAAATTAGAAACAGTATCTTAAAAAGTATTGTCAGCCTTAAATTGGTTTTTGTATTCTCTAAAACGTAATAATTAAATATGAATCAAAGTATCTGTAAAACTGTTGATCAAAGAATGAACTTTATTTTTGAGAAAGAGTAAGAAATAAGAGACAACAGAAAGGTCTTTAATCATTTTATAAAGTCCAAATAGCCTCTTTCTATATCCATTAAGTGTAAAGTCTTATATAAGTTCAACTAAGGTTATTCTGGAACACCTGCACTTTCTTAATTTTTCTACAATGAACATGTTACTTCTGGAATAAGAATAAAAGCATATCAACAGTTCTAAGCCCAAAGTTAAAGGTGACTGCTATTATGTCTCCAATCGAACACTATCCCCACAGTTTTAAGCAAAGTATGTTACTGCTGGTCAAGAAGAATTCATAGACCTTCTCCAAAGCCTCAGCTAGTGCCAAGGAGTTCTCAGGCCCAAACAGTTTGGAGCAAATGAAAAAGCAACCCCACTTTCCAAATGGGCTTCGTTACCTTACTAACAGCTAACAGCTTCTGTGTAAGCTGAGTGATGAGAGTAGGGATGTAGGGGATTATGGCTTCTTGTAGGAGAGAAAAACTTCTCATGATAGCTGTAAAACACAAAAATAGCAAAAACACAGAGTTTAAACTTCAGAATAAAAGTGATGAGAGAGGGAAAAGCCCACTAATTAATCACCTAAAATTTTAAGATGTTTAGACAATCGTCAGATAGCTGTCTACATTTAAAAATAATCTAGGCCAGGTGCAGTGGCTCAAGCCTGTAATCCCAGCACTTTGGGAGGCTGAGATGAGGGGACTGCCTGAGTCCACGGGTTCAAGAACAGCCTGGGCAACTTGGCGAGTCCTCATCTCTACTATAAATCCAAAAATTAGCCAAATGTAGTAGTACGCACATGTGGTTCCAGCTACTTGGAAAGCTAAGGTGGAAGGATCACCTGAGCCCAGCAGGTTGATGCTGGGGTGGCCATGAGCGTGCCACTGCACTGCAGCCTGGGTAACAGAGTGAAACTCCAACACACACACACACACACACACACACACACACACACAAATCTAAATTTCCCTTCCTTTTAAAATTAAGATGGGTTGGCAACAAAATTTACCTGGGAAACATTGAGTATTTCTTGAAAGCACAAGACTTAAAAAAATAATTAAGTGACCAAAGAAGGAGACAAAGAAGAGGAGGAAGAAAGAGTGAACTGATATGAGCAGAGAAGGTAAGTGTGAGAGAGAACCGTTTTAGGTCTCTTTCACTTAGAAATCAATGGCAGAAAAGGTTTAGTCCTAGCCTAAAGGAAACAGTCTCACATACAGGAAACTGAAAAGAGAAATTCACCTACCCACCTCCCTCAAAAAGAGAGATCAAGAGCCAAGGAAAATTCCCAAATTGCAAAAATACTGCTCACTAACAGATGCCCAAAAGCAGTTGGCATAGGAGAAAAATGCATTTGTCAGCTAAAAATGTACAATGGCCCTCTTTTGACAAATACCATTTCCAAAATAAATGCTTATTATTAAACAGAGCATCTATTATATACCAGGCATAATGGACAGGAAGTTATCTCCTCTTGTCTCGTAAACTTTGCACGTGATGTTTCCTCCTCCACCTGAGCCAAAGATTCATTTACCCTTTAACAAACTTCTACCTGTCCCTCATATTACCAGCTTAGACATCACTTGCTAGGGACAATCTTTCCCTGACCTGGGTTGAGAGGGTTAGAAGATAGATTAGTTACTCCTTCTGGGCTGGCACAGAATCCTTTCATTCACCCATAGAACAGTATTTATTGAGAAGGTATTATACACTGTGTGCTTTTACATACTCTAGAAACACAGTAATGAAAACCATAAACCAAGTTAGTAGCTTTCTCAGAAATGGACATTAAATAACAATTAACTACACATAATTGTTGAGAAAACAGTGCGAAAAACACATATATGCAGCCCAAGATTCTAGACCAAGGCTGGAAGGACCATGAAGTTTCTTTGAAAACTGTTTCCTGCAACCCAGATACCATGCTAGGCTTCTGGGATGCAATAGTGAAAAAGACTGAGATTGCCTCATAAGGATGCACTAATAGAGCACCTAGCAGATGATTACAGCTGTCTATGTCCTTGGCAGTATATATGAAGACATAATCTGTGTGGAGTCTGACCACATTGCACCCATGGTTCACCAAGACCTAGCTGGGCATGCCATCAGTAAATGCTGCATCTGTTTTTTGCCTTAAAAAGTAGAATCTAAGCCAGGCTCGGTGGCTCAGCTGTAATCCCGCGCCTTTGGGAGGCTGAGGTGAGTGGATTGCCTGAGCCCGTGGGTTCAAGACCTGCCTGGGCAACTTGGTGAGACCTCATCTCTACAATAAATCAAAAAATAAGCCGGGCGTGGTAGTGCACGCCCGTAGTTCCAGCTACTTGGAAGGCTGAGGCGGAAGGATAGCTGGAGCCCAGGAGGTCGAGGCTGCGGTGGCCGGGAGCAGCCACTGCACTCCAGTCTGGGCGACAGAGTGAAACTCCAACTCAAAAAAAAAAACCCAAAAAACTAAGAAAGTAAAAAAGGACTCTACTATGTTTTCTATATCAAATCAAGATAAAATTACTCTAATAACACTCTTAATAGTAGATATTTTTCATATAATAGTATCTAAGCCCATCTATTTCTTGGCATATACCATATGGTTCACAGACTACATAACATGAATATAACTCACAGTGCTTACCCTTATAAGATACTTATAGTCTGCATACCAGGGAAAAGGCCTACCTTTCATGATATATTCATTTTCTGAAGAGCCAGGAAGTGTGAGAGCTTTGAAAAGATTTGTTAGCAGAATTTCAACAAACGGTGCAATTTCTGCAGCTGTAAAGCTATAGAGAAAAGATAGCTTTCAGTCACTACCAACCATTGAGCTTGCCACTGTGGAGCACCCTTGCCAACTTCGATATATATCACTTCTCTGCATAAAGCTGAGCCATCTTCCACCACTAACAATTGACAGATTAGGGAAATAATTCTTTACATATGCTCATGCTAAACTCTTAAAAGGCATATCTGGGACCAAATACAACTGAACCCCAAAATCCAATATCAACTGAATTTGCAAGAGTCATCCTTGGTTCTTATCTATTCCCATCAAGGACAGAACTGGGGCCAGGTGTGGTGGCTCACACCTGTGATCCCAGAAGTTTGGGAGGCCAAGGTGAGAGGATTTCCGAAGCCCGTGGGTTCGAGACCAGCCTGGGGAACATGGCGAGACCTTGTCTCTACAGTAAAAAAATTAGCTGAGTGTGGTACCTGTAGTTCCAGCTATTTGGAAGACTGAGGTGGAAGGATCGCCTGAACCCACCAAGTCAAAGCTGTGGTGGCCGTGAGCAGTGAGCCACTACACTCCAGCCTGGGCGACAGAGTGAGACTCTGACTCAGAAAAAAAGAAAAGAACTGGGAAACTCAGGGGTCTCAATCATCTATTTTTCTTGCAGGTGAAGTAAGATTCAGAATTGTTTTCTGCATAAATTCTGGGTCTGTAGACAGGTACTGGCTTGACTCACCTCACAGGATGTCCTTTCAACCCTTAATTGGCCACTGAGAGTAATCCTTACTTCAAATTCTTGATGAAGAAAACAACCTACAACTGTTTTCCATCTCTTACCCAAAGCTCAGTTTCAAGAAATAACACTGCTGAAGAATGGCCTGAAAGACATGCAGACCATCCATTCCTCCCCATCTCATCCTCAGATCAGGCCAGAAGAGCTACTTTCTTGATGGCAACTACCTGAGTTTCCCCCTTTGCCTTGGCTTCTAGGAGACTCCAAATAAAATTGGGAGTTTCTTGAACTACTATACATGGTCCTTTAACACACATTTCTGTCTATTAATCTTATCTCAGTCATTTTCCTTTCCTATAATTTACTTAATCTTATTGTCGTAACGTATCTATTTTGGTAAGCTGCCTCACATCCTTTTAGAATGAGGCAGAATATAAATGCATAAAAAGTACACTCTGAGCCGGGCTCAGTGGCTCAGCCTGTAATCCCGCGCCTTTGGGAGGCTGAGGTGAGTGAATTGCCTGAGCCCGCGTGTTCGAGACCCGCCTGGGCAGCGAGACCTCATTTCTACAATAAATAAAAAAATCAGCCGGGCGTGGTAGCGCATGCCTGTAATTCCGGCTACTCGGAAGGCTGAGGCGGAAGGATTACCGGAGCCCAGGAGGTCGAGGCTGCGGTGGCCGGGAGCGGCCACTGCACTCCAGTCTGGGCGACCGAGTGAGACTCCAACTCAAAACAAAAAAAAAAGTACACTCTGCTTTCCAACTACTAATAAAATTATGAAAACATTCAGTAATATTTTTGACCAGTAAATTACAGCCCTCACCTCAAGCTAAAAAAATACAAACTTCTCAGAATCAAATACTTACAGAGTAGCATTGTTAGGGCCTCTCATAGTAAAGAGTCTTTCAAGAGCATGTGCTGCATAAGTATGAACAACAATACTTTCAGCTTGAAGATGATTAATCAAGAGAGGAATAGAGACTAAAAGATGTTCTTTTGGCACCTGAAAAATATAATAATATACAAGCTATATATGCCATGACACTTTTGACTAAAAGATAATTGGAAGGGAAGGGCTAGCTTATTTTTAACAGTTTGCATTTTTCAGTTGTTATAACAGGAAATGATGATATTGGGAAATCACAACTTTTACCTCCACATAATGGTTCAATTTCCATCCAATTTCCCAATCCTCTTTTTCTATGCACAAAAGTATGATGAGTGTTAAAATCTTACAAATAAATGAATACACTATAAAATAATAATATCATGGAGAAGCAGAGTATTTCTTGAAAAAGTCACTTAACCTTTGTGTGCCTCACTCTCTCTCCTCCTGCTGCCCCTCAACAAGGAATAAAAATAAGAACAACAATCTTCATTAAAAATCTCTAATATCTAGAACATTCATTAGTCTTAAAAAGAGAGAAGCTGCCAGGCGTGGTGGCTCACGCCTGTAATCCCAGCACTTTGGGAGGCAGAGGTGAGAGGATTGCCTGAGTCCACGGTTCAAGACCAGCCTGGGCAACCTGGTGAGACCTCCTATCTATAATAAACCAAAAAATTAGCAGGGCGTGGTAGCATGTGCCTGTAGCCACAGCTACTTGGAAGGCTTCAGGCAGAAGGATAGCCCGAGCCCAGCAGGTTGAGGTTATAGTGGTTGTGAGCATGCCACTGTACTTCAGCCTGGGTGACAGAGTGAGACAACTCAAAAAAAAGAAAAAAAGAAAGAAAGAAAAAGACCTCACAAACAGTTATCCTGCTTTTCCTATATAAACTGGTAATTAAATGATCTATGAGCATGCAATAGTGGTCACGCAACACAATATATATATTGTGTAGTCTCAACACCATAGGTATACTTTGTTTCTTTTCTTTTCTTTTTATTTTTTTGAGTGGAGTCTCACTCTGTCGCCCCAGCTGGAGTACAGTGGCACACTCACGGCCACTGCAGCCTTTACCTGTTCGGCTCAGGTGATCTTTCCGAGTCAGCACTTCAAGTAACTGGAACTACAGGCATGTGCCACCATGCCCAGCTAATTTTTTGATTTATTGCAAAGACGAGGTCTTGACAAGTTGCCTAGGCTGGTCTCGAACCCATGGGGGGTTCAGGCAATCCTCTCACTTTGGCTTCCCAATGTGCTGGGATTATAGTCTTGAGCCACCATGCCCAGCCTCCTATAAATATACTAAAAGACACCAAGTCATGGTGGTTCATGCCTATAATCCTAGTACTTTGGGAGGCAGAGGTGAGAGGACTGACTAAGCTCAGGGGTTCGAGACTAGCCTGGGCAACTTGGTGAGACCTCGTCTTTCTTTTTTTTTTTTTTTTGAGTTGGAGTCTCACTCTGTCACCCAGACTGGAGTGCAGTGGCCACTCCTGGCCACTGCAGCCTTTACCTGCTGGGCTCTGGTGATCCTTCCACCTCAGCCTTCCAAGTAGCTGGAACTACAGGTATGCACCACCATGCCCAGCTAATTTTTTGATTTATTGTAGAGATGAGGTCTCGCCAAGTTGCCCAGGCGGGTCTTGAACCCGCAGGCTCAGGCAATCCACTCACCTCAGCCTCCCAAAGCGTGGGATTACAGGCTGAGCCGCCGAGCCCGGCTGACCTCGTCTTTAAATAAATCAAAAAATTAGCTGGGCGTGGTAGTGCATGCCTGCAGTTCTGCCTATTTGGAAGGCTGACACGGAAAGATCACCTGAGCCAAGCAGGTAAAGGCTGCAGTGGCCATGAATGTGCCACTGCACTCCAGCCGGGGCGACGGAGTGAGTTTCTGTTCAAAAAAAAGAAAGAAATATGAAAAGACAAAAAGAAGAAAAGTATACCTATGGTGTTTTGCTGTCTATAGGAATCTAAATCTAGTCAAGACTCCAGATCTACCAATATAGATACAGGAACTAGTGGGACAAGATAGTTGACCCTCAAACAACACAGGCTTCAACTGCACGGGTCCATATGCATTCATTTTTTTTGTTTAACCAAATGCGAACAAAAAATACAGTATTCTTGAAATGCAAAATCTGTATACCGAAAGCCAACTTTTTGAATAAGCGGATTTTGCAGGGCCAACTGTAGGACATAAGTATGTGCACATTTTGGTATATTTGGGGGTCTGGGAACAAATACCTAGTGTATACTAAGTGACAATTGTATACCATGAGGATGTAATTAGTCAAAAGCAAAATATAAGAAACTCTCCAAGATAAGCAACTAGTTTCTTCTACAAATAACAGGCATAAGAAAGGGAAAGGAGGACATCTCTGTTGTAAGAGACTTGAGACACAACTTTATGTCATGTCTAGACATTGCTTAGATCCCAATTTTTAATAATATTATTGTAAAAAGAAACATTTTTAGTACATCTGAGGAAAATTAAGCACAATCTGAAATTATAAAATATTAAAGAGTTACTGGTAATTTTGTAAGATATGGATATCAAGTATGAAGCCACAGCAGAGAAGCTTACATAAATAAAGTCTTGAAAGATTAAGTAGTATTCTACAAGTAAAAATTTACTTACTTGATTCCTAAAAATCATAATATATTTGATACCGTCAGCTTTAAGGACAGGAAATTCATTCACTATTAAAAAAACAGAAACTCATAGTTACTGAAGTGGTAAGGGCTATTATTTCCAACTTTGTGGCGTTATCTGCATTTAAAAAACATAATTAAATGTTAAGCAATTGAAGCTTATTGAAGTTTATATATTATATATAATTATACACTAACAGTCAAAGTTAATTATATAATGATCTATTATATAGCCATTAATTATCTAGTTGGATTATAAATTATTTTTTACCTTTGCCTGTTTGGTGACAAAAGAACATATATTATTTATAAAATTGAAGAAAGGTTATTGGGAATATGTCATCTCGATTTTCAGAATTGAAGGTATTTTGAATTTAAAACGTGTATCTCTAGCTGGGATGTGCTTTTTTTTTTGAGTCAGAGTCTCAGTGTCGCCCAGGTTGGAGTGCAGTGGCATGGTCACGGCCACCGCAGCCTCAACCTGCTGGGCTCTGGCGATACTTCTGCCTCAGCCTTCCAAATAGCTGGAACGATAGGCGTGCGCCACCGTGCCTGGATAATTTTTTGATTTACTGTTGAGACAAGGTCTCACACCAAGATGCCCAGGCTGGTCTCGAATCCTGGGCTCAGGCAATCCTCTTGCCTCCGGAGGCCTCCGAATGCTGAAATTACAGCCTTGAGCTACCACTCAAAATCTTTTTTTTCTGAGACAGGGTCTCGCTTTATTGCCCAGGCTGGTCTCAAACTCCTAGCTTCATGCAATACGCCTGCCTTTCCTCCCAAAGTGCTAGAATTGTAAACATGGGCTCACTGCATACAGCTTAATTATTAATAATTCTTGAAGCTGGATAATGGTCACAGGTTAGCTCGTTACAATATCTGCTTTACCTTTGAATATATATAAACTTCTCTAAAGGTTTCTTTAAAGAAAGGAATATTTCTGAATCTAGATCACACTCATAAATCTAAGAACCTATCCTTTGCTGGGCGTAGTGGCTCAACCGTTTGGGAGACGGAGGCGAGAGGACTGCCAGAGTTCACAGGTTCGACACCAGCCTGGGCAACATGGTGAGGCCTCGTCTCTACAAGAAATAAAAAATTAGCTGGGCATGGTCACGGGCACCTGTAGTTCCAGTTGCTTGGAAGGCTGAAGTGGAAGGATCGCCGGAGTCCAGCAGGTTGAGGCTGCAGTGGCTGTGAGTATGTCACTGCACTCCAGCCTGGGCGAGAGTGAAACTCTGACTCAAAAAAAAAAAAATAAAAATAAAAGAACCTATCCTTAATATCTATCAGTATCTAGTACTTTGAAAAATGTAATGGTTAAGGGGTCATGTTTCAAATGAGAAAGAAAAGGTGGCCAAAGTGTAATTCCTATTTATACACTAGGATAGCAAAGCTGAGTTACAGTTCAGTTTTACTTATTCCTATTTTCCTTCTAAACAAGCAGTATTTTCTTTATCAAAAGTTAATTTCATGGCTGGGCGCAGTGGTTCACACCAGTAATCCCAGCACTATGGAAGGCCGAGGCAGGAGGATTGCTTGAGTCCAGGAGTTTGAGACCAGGCTAGGCAACATAGCAAGACTTCATCTTACAAAACAATCAAAACATTAGCCAGACATGGTGGTGCACACCAGTAGTCCCAGCTATTTGGGAGGCTGAAGCGTGAAGATCACTTGAGCCCAGGAGGTTGAAACTGCAAAGCCGTGACCATGTCACTGTATTCTAGTCTGAGTGACAGAAAAAGACTCTCAAGGAAAAAAAAAAGGAACATAGAAACTAATTTTTTTCTACTATCATGGCAATATAGAGCCCCTTTTATGACTTTTGATGTGGTTTGTAGTGTAACAATGTAAATAAAAATTGCAGGTATAGTGTAATAAGTTTCATAACAGAAAAAAAACCTCAGTTGGGCACAGTGGCTCACACCTATAATCCTAGAACTCTGGGAGGCCAAGGTGAGAGGACTACCTGAACCCACAGGTTCAAGACAGGCCTGGGAAACTTGGGGAGACCTCATCTCCACAATAAATCAATTAGTCAGGCATGGTAACGTGTCCCTATAGTTCCAGCTACATGGAAGTTTGAGGTGGAAGGATCACCTGAGTCCAGCAGGTTGAGGCTGCAGTGGCTGTGAGTGTTCCACTGCACTCCAGCCTGGGTGACAGAGCGAGACTCCAACTTAAAAAAAGAAATCTCACAACTCACCATTAGCTGATTTTAAATCTGGGAGGATGTGATTCACAAAGAACTCAGTTAGGTTTACAAGTTCATTTGCTTGCGTAATTCCATGCTGAAAAGCAAATTTGTAACAAGGTAAAATAACACAAAACACCCATATGTATCTACAACATTAGACATTTAAGCAATTTTAGAAAATCACATTAAAAATGGAGATAAACACTTCAAAATACAAAGAGCTTAAATATAAAACAAAACTATCTTAATAGACAATAAAATCCCCTAAATTAAAGAATCACTAAACTTAGCACATATTATACAGTAGATCTAAGTTACTGTTTTGGTCCATAAAAAAGTTCAGTTTACAATAAATCGCCATAAAACTAATAGGTTATCTGGAAGAGTAATTTGTATTATCAAAGATATAGTATTTCTTTTTTATTTCTGCAATTACTGATATGTTTTCGAAACAAAACCACATTAAAAAGGTTTACCTTCTGTGTTTGGGCTTTTGACGCCAAAGATGTCACAAGGTAAATAGCTGCATCTTTATGTTTCCAGTTGACAGAAGGATTTTTTGCATATTCCTGCAGCATGGAATTAACATAACCAGAAAATATTCCGGTCACAGGTCCCTCAAAAAATTTGCATAATCCTCGCACCAAATCACAAGCAGCCCTGCGTCTAGTATCAATATCTACAAAATGAAAATGAAACATATTATGGGAGGGATAGACAACTACTGACCAACTGACGCAGTTTATAAGAAAACAAATAGCCTTCTGATAGCTATTAGCAACATACAAAATGAAAAAAAACAGTCCTCGTCAAAAGAAACACAAAATGAAAATGAAACTAGAGGTCACAATTATGATAAATACCATTAAATATATAAGACGACAAATGATTCAACTTTTGATACTTTCATGCAGGTCATGTAGGAGCTTTGAAAGATATGCAAGTTAAAGAAGGGAAACAATTTTCAGGGGAAGCCAGCTGAAATTACACCCTTATCCTAACTCCCACTCCTCCCCATATTTACAAGAAAGAGAACCTTAAAACTGGCTTGCAAAGATACCAGTAACTAGAAAAGCAAGATACAAACCAGATCCTTCTAAATCTCTTCTTATATACTCCTCAGAATTATCTTCAAATGCTTCTTCATCAGCAGCTATAAAGAGAGTTATTTCAGGTAACTTTCCAAAAAGCTAGTTATTGTACTTTATAGTTGAGTATGCAGAACAGTATGCAGAATTGCCTTATTTTACAGCAAAGAATTCCCAAAGCACTACTTCATATACTTTCAATCATTACCAATGGCAGCAAATGCCACCCTGAAAGGATAGTATTAGGTAATTCACACTGAAAGGATCACTCATTCTAATTTGACAGTGTCCCCAGACCTTCAAAAATGTTAGGAATAAATTTCAGAATGCTAACTTATAATTTCGACAGAAAAGGACATTGAAAAAAAAACAACACACCAAACAACCTAACTATAATCATCAATATTTCATAAAAAGTCATCTTAACAAAAAAATTGGATGGGAAATTATCAGAATAAAGATCTATCCTTTAAGTGTACTTTTATAAAAATACAAAGGAAATAAAACTTCACACTGTATTGTGCTTGATTTCTTTATTTTGTTGCAGACATAATTTGAGAACCACTGATCTAAGGAGTGCTTTGATATAAAACACAATCCTAGCTGGGCTCGGTGGCTCAGCCTATAATCCCACGCCTTTGGGAGGTTGAGGTGAGTGAATTGCCTGAGCCCACGGGCTCGAGACCCGCCTGGGCAGCGAGACCTCATCTCCACAATAAATCAAAAAATCAGCCAGGTGTGGTAGCGCATGCCTGTAATTCTAGCTACTGGGAAGGCTGAGGCGGAAGGATCGCCGGAGCCCAGCAGGTCGAGGCTGCGGTGGCCGGGAGCGGCCACTGCACTCCAGTCTGGGTGACAGAGTGAGACTCCAACTCAAAAAAAAAACAAAACAAAAACAAAAAACACGATCCTTTTCACCTTCCTTACTTGCTCTTCAGAAACAGAAGACGACATTTTATACACAAACACAGACTCTTAGGATCATTTTAACCTTAAGCACAAACTAAGTGACTTCAACACTGTACTTACATTATCACCTCTATTCTCAACGGTTAATAAATAACTATTTGCCTTGGTGAAACACAAATCAAACAAAACCAATTCCTTCCCTGTATTGAGATGTGGATAGTTTTTCCTCTCACAGTACCAGGAATTTTAAAATCTTACTTAATCCCCACAGTACACACTAAAGTTCATTAAAGCAATACTCATTTCACAGATACCACATTTTCTATCTTGGTTTAGAAAACAGAAAATAAATGACCTATATGTCTTATTAAGTAATAAGAGAGACAGCAACAAACAGCAACAGAAGACATTAAATTAAGACATTAAGACACCAACACACTTTCGTAAAAACTGAGTTTTTAACTCTTGTGAAAATGCTTTTTTACACTTTGTAATAATTACCTCTAAATTCCATGTTAGGCACAATAACCTTTTCACAGATACTTGTCAGCGTGTTCTGGTCCTCAAACAGATTCTTATAATGAGGTCTCTCACAAACTGAAGCCAGAAATTGAATGGCATTACTTACCAACTAGAACAAAAGACAAAAATAAGAATAGTTTAAAAAGCAAAACTGAAGAGTTTATTTCATGGGGAGGGGAGGAGAGAGGGAAAGAATGTTTTTAAATTACTTGTCTCCATCAGCTTACCAAATCATATTTGACCTCTTGACCTGTTGTAACTAGTAAATTCCAGATGGCTGTGACAAAACGAGGCAAGTACCGTTGAAATTCTTCATCATACTTTTGTGCATAAAGTGCAGCATTATCACATATCTGGGATTTTAAGAGTTCTAATAAACCTGCTTCCTCTTCATCCTCACATAAAAGAAAAGAGAAAACTCATACAACTCTAATGCTAACATAAATAAGAGAAGATGAAATTCCTGAACTAGACTCTTTATAATTTAAATCTAAATCAGCTGTTGTAAACTACATCTATTCACCAGGACTTTCAAGTAAGTACAAGATGAAATACTTCTCATTTACTAATCATTTAGAGCAGGTTTAAAAGTTTCAAGTTAAATAAAACCATCTCTTCCGATTGCTGAATTATAAAACACTCCCATAACACTCCCATATTAGATTAAAAATAGCATGTTTCTGGCCAGGCTCGGTGGCTCAACCTGAAATCTCAGCACTTTGGGAGGCCAAAGCGAGTAGATTTCCTGAGTCCGTGGGTTTGAGACCAGTCCAGGCAATTTGGCGAGACCTCGTCTCTACAATAAATTACGAAGTAGAAGAGCGTGGTAGCTCGCGCCTGTAGTTCTGGTTACTTGGGAGGCCCAGCAGATCGGTGCTGGGGTGGCCATGAGCGTGTCACTGCACTCCAGCCTGGGCTATGGAGAGAGATTCCAAATCAATTAAAAAAAAAAGCATATTTCTACAGAAACCTGAAAAATAAAGATCACATCATAATTTTCTTTTGAGTTGGGGTCTCACTCTGTTGCCCAAGCTGGAGTGCAGTGGCATAACCACAGTTCACCACAGCCTTGACCTCCTGGGCTCAGGGGACCCTTCTGCCTCAGCCTCCCAAGTAGTTGGTACTTAAGCACACACCATCATGCTGGGCTAATTTTTTTCTTTGTAGAGACAGTGTCTCATTATGTTGCCCAGGTGGTCTCGATTCTGGACTCAAAGGTCTCCCACTTTAGCCTACCACAGTGCTGGGATTACAGATGTGAGCCACTGCACCAGCCCATATTTTCCTTTGTAACAGAGTTAGCTGTATTCTCTTGCTGCCACCCAAATGGTTATCACTTCAAATATATTAAGATAGGAAATCCACTCCCCATTTAAAAGTAAGGATTCTCGCAAACAATATTTTGGTTATAAAATCTTAAGCAAAAATCTAAATCAAGGGTCAGCAAATTATGTTCTGCAAGCCAAATCCGGCATGCTCTTTATTTTTTTTTAAATACATAGCTGCCGGGTATGATGGCTCATGCCTATAATCCCAGCTTTGGGAGGCCGAGGTGAGAGGATTGCCTGAGCCCATGGGTTTGAGACCAGCCTGGGAAACTTAATGAGACCTATCTCTACAATTAAAAAAAAAAATTAGCCAGGCATGGTGGCACGTGCCTGTAGTTCCAGCTACTTGGAAGGCTGAGGTGGAAGGATCGTCTGAGCTCAACAGGTCAAGGCTGTGGTGACTTTAAGCGCACCACTGTACTCAAGCCTGGGCAACAGAGTGAGACTCCAACTTAAAAAGAAAAAAAAACAGCCATGTGCATTTGTTTTTTCTGTATGCAACTGATTTACATGACTTAGGATACTGTCTATAGCTGCTTTCCCACTACAACTGCAGTGCAGCTTCAACACTAACCACATGGCCTACCAAACCGAATATATTTACCACTTTGCCCTTCACAGAAAAAGTTTGCCAGGCTCAATGTAAACCATGACAGTGAATTATATAATCTCTACTGTAACAGAAATCCCCTGCTGAGCTGTGCTATGTGCGCAAACACTCAGATTTAGAAGACATAATAAAGAATTCCTGCACACTGGTTCCTCAGGCATAAATATCAAGGGATGTAAGATGACACAAAGTAGTACATGGTAACTGGGCAGACAGCCCCTTGTAAGAACCCTATTTGACAATTTCCTTCAGACTTAAGTGTGAAGAACAGCTTTGTCTTTTGAAGGATTATTTTTCCTATTAAAATAAAAGCATTATGCTATGGGAGCTACACTTTTTTTTTTTTTGAGTAGGAGGCTCACTCTGTCACCCAGGTTGGAATGCAGTGGTATGCTCACAGCCACCAGTCTTCACCTGCTGGGTTCAGGTGATCCTTCTGCCTCAGTTTTCCAAGTAGCTGGAAGCACAGGCACCCACCACCACCCCCAGGTGATTATTTATTTATTTACTGTTGAGACGAGGTCTTGCCAAGTTATCCAGGCTGGTCTTGAAGCCCTAGGCAGTCCTCTCACCTCCACATCCGGCTAGGAGTCACACCTTCTTAAGTGCCTGTTTACACAGTCAAACTGAGAAAAAAAATCTACTGTACAACCATAGCAACGATTCTCTTTTCACAGCCCACCTTCAAAACTTGATTTGAATCACTAACTCTAATTTTTAATTTATCTAGAGTTAACATATCCTTATTTGTTTTTTTGTTTCTTGGAAAAGAAGTAAATCATAAATACGTTAATGAGCAAAGGAACAGCACAATAAGTGCTGTGTGGTTAAAGTACATAGGACTAAATCCCACATACCTTTATGTATTACAAACTTTTACCATTTTCCCTTTTCCCCCAGCCATGGATGATTTAAAGAGGCTTATTTACCATAACAGAAATTAATTTTCTTAGTATCTTCAAAGACCATTTTATGTCATAAAATATTCACAATGCAAATACTTCAAGCCTTACTTTAATCAGTGTCATGAAGTAGCCTTATCTAGAGCTAGACATGGTAGCTCACACCTGTTAATCCCAGCACTTTGGGATGCAGAGGCAAGAGGAGCGCCTGAGCCCAGGGGGTTGAAACCAGCCTGGGCAACTTGGTGACACTTCATCTCAACAATAAATCAAAAAATTAGCCAGGCATGGTGGCACGCATCTAGAGTTCCAACTACTTAGAAGGTGGAAAGGATCACCTGAGCACAGCAGTTCGAGGCTGTGGTGGCTGTGAGCATGCCACTGCACTCTAGCCTGGGTGACAGAGACTCTGACTCAAAAAAGAAATAGCCTTATCTGGCTGGGCTCAGTGGCTCAGCCTGTAATCCCAGCACTTTGGGAGTAGACTGACTGAGCCTGCGGGTTCAAGACCAGCCTGGGCAACTTGGTGAGGCCTCGTCTCTACAATAAATCAAAAAGTAGCCGGGCATGGTCACATGCACCTGTAGTTCTGGCTACCTGGAAGGTTGAGGCAGAAGGATTGCCAGAGTCCAGTAGGCTGAGGCTGGGGTGGCCGTGAGTGTGCCACTGCCCTACAGACTGGGTGACAGAGTGAAATTCCAACTCAAAAAAAAGAAAAAGAAAAGAAATAGCCTTATCTTTAAATTGTGACTTAAGCCAGGCCCATAGTAATTCTGTATACAACATAGAACCAAACATAGAACATCAAACAGAAGCAAATATACTTGCATTCTTAGAATTTTATCTACGAACAATGCAAAAGTAAATAGGTTTTCAAAAGGTAACACAACAATTCTTAATGAAAGAAAAAGGCAGCATTTTAAATACTTACATCAGTTTGTAGAAGTTTATTATCTAATGTCAAGAGGGTATGAAAATTGTTCATCCAAGTTTCCATATTATCTTCAAAAAACTCAGGGAGATCCTAAAGAATAAACACTGACTTAAAACTTTCATTAAAATAAATATGTGCACTACTTTAGTGAGTTTCCCCAACACACTGAGCATTTTGCACATAGGCTGAAGTCCAAACTTCATAGCCTGAGCATGACCTATTCTGACAAGAATTCTCAGCTCCAGTTATGTCTGGCAGAAACCATTCTGACTTCTGCTTGTTTGTATGCCATCAATGACACCACCTCTAGTTCCTGTCCCAGTGGAAACTTCCCTTCAAGGTCCAGCTAAGACTACATACAGTCTTTCCTTAAAAAGCTCAGTGCTTACCAACACATCCATTTTCCTTTCTGAACAGCATTTATTGTAAGAGGACCAACACTTCAGATTCAAACTTATTGGTTTATACAATTACTGATTTCCTGTGGAATAGTACTGTCTTCCTAAGGAGATCCAAGCCCTTGTGAGGGTAAAGATTATACCTACTTTCTATTGTCTCCCTGGTTATATCTGACAAGTTACTAAAGGCTTTATCTGACCTGACTTCTAAAAGAAGGTGCAAGCAAAAACATTAGCATTAATTTAAGTAAGAATTTCTCAAACTGATGTCCAGCTGAACACTGATGTGGGCATATCTTTTTGGGCTGTTCATCTCCTAGTCTACCTAGGAGAACCCAATTAATTCCTTTTGGGGAATGCTCTCCCTGCCACAGGGAGTTCAGCCATGTTGTGAACAGAAGTTCAGGTACTGCTACCAGCAATGAGAAGGCCAGATCCTTTTTCTTGTGTCTCAGTGCAACAATAATCTGTACCCATTAATACCCCCTTCTTGGTCCTGAATCTTCTTTTTTCTTTTTCCTTATAGACAGAGTCTTGCTCAGTCACCTAGGCCATAGTGCAGTGGAGTGATCCCAGCTCACTGCAGTCTTGATCTCCTGGACTCAAGCAATCCTCATGACTACAGGTGCATACCACCATGTAAGGTTAATTCAAAAAAAAATTTTTTTTTAGAGACACGGAGTCTCATTTTGCCCAGGCTGGCCTAGAATTACTGAGATCAAGTGATTCCCTCACCTCAGCCTGTGAAGTGCTGGTCTTACAGGTATGAGTCACAGCACCTGGTCGTAAACCTTTTTTTTTTGAGTAGGAGTCTCATTCTGTCCCTAGGCTGGAATGCAGTGGCACACTCACAACTGCAGTCTTGACCTGCTAAGGTTCAGGTGATCCTTCTGCCTCAGCCTTCCAGGTAGCTGGAACTATAAGAGTATGATACCAAGCCCAACTAATTTGGTTTCCTTTTATTGCAGATACGAGTTCTCACCAAGTTCTTCAGGTGGGTCTGGAACCCATGGACACAGAAAATCCTCTTGCCTCCACCTCCCAAAAGTCCTGAGATTACAGGCATGAGCCACTGCACCCGACATGGCTGTGAATCTTAAATGATTCAAGAACAGAAAGAATAATTAGCCAGGCATGACAACTCACGCCTGTAATCCTAGCACTTTGGGAGGTGGAGGCAAGAGGATTGCCTGAGCCCAGGGGTTCAACACCAGCCTGGGCAACTTGGCAAGACCTTGTTTCTACAGTGAATCAAAAAAAATTAGCCAGGCGGAGTGGTATATGCTTATAGTTCCAGCTACTAGGAAGGGTGAGGCAAAGAACTGCTCGAGCCCAGCAGGCTGAAGCTGCAGTGGCCGTGAGAGTGCCACTGCACTCCAGCCTGGGTAACAATGAGAATCTGACTCAAAAAAAAAAAAAAAAAAAAAAA